GCGGCCCTAGTACCACACCAAGTACCTGTTAGTCAACCTACTAGAAAAAATTCTTCGTATATATACACTACAGGTTAATATTACGCATGGTCATGGTGTCAAAAAAAATGAGCCGTGGGCCAAGAGGTTTTATTTTTTGTCTAAAAATATATAATTAAATTTATAATCGATTTATGATTTTTACTATCTCCATAACTTACACACTTTTTTTTAAATAGACAAAAATGTTGGAAAAATCATTATGCAAATTAGAAAAAAAATAGACCAATCATGTTACGGGATTGAATGTATTGTACTCGTTGATGACGTCGCGAATCGCGAAATAACAACAAACAACAACCTTTCATGTCCCAGCTTTGGAACCAGTCAATTCGAGCGGATGCCACTTCGAGCGAAGGCCAATTCGAGCGAATTCGAGCGGATTTTTTTTTCGAGTGGATGCAGTGGTATATAGATGTTTGTTATTTTCATGTGTTTATATGGGGTTTAATGATTTATCGATTGTGATAGTTATTGGAAATATAATTTATTTATTCATTCTATTAATAAGTAAAATAAGTTTGAATAATTATTGATGAGAGTGATTGTTGTATGCCATAAAATCTTCTGTCATACATTCAGAGCTTTTGGGGTTTCATTGTTGAGTTTGCTTTGAAACCAAAACAAATTAAAACGAGCGTAGACAGCGATGATAGCAATTTTATTGTACTTTATAAAAGGATATAAATATAGTACTGTAAAATATTCATTTTGTGTATAAGGTGTCTATATAGTTAATACTATTAAGTTTGTATCGACCAACCAAAACACTGGAACCATGTCATGAAACCTATTCCGTGTACACCAAGTTCTTCCCTTATAAGGGTTATGTTGTGTAATAATAAACTATAGTTTTGAATTGTGAAACTTGTACATAAGGTATGCAGCTGTATATAGTTGTAAATGATAAAATAGATGTGAACTGGCTTGCTATAGAATACCTTGTACTGCTGTAAATATGTGTATGAGAGGTGAAGGTGAACTTTGCGGGTATAAATCAGATATTTATTTTCGTATTTTCTCCTTATTAGATGTAGGCCGAATCGTTGGTATGAACGGGCTACTTTGAAAGCAAAGGTGATGAAAAAAGCTTCCTAAATTATGCCAGAGAGTTTCTACTAGTGTTCATAGATTAAGTGAGTGCGACTTGAGATCACTGTACATTGAGATCATTGTACATTCTTTTGGCCTAGTATAACGGAAATTCCCTATTGTGTCAAACCTGTGCCGGTATTCCATTTGTCTTGACAGTGTAAAAATTATATAATACCTTATACTGCCACATCAGATTGAAAAAAAAAACACTGGTGTAAACATGAATGTGACACAGGATAACATTGACAAAAATAATAATAATAATAATAATAACACTATCCTCTCGAAAATCTGTAATTTTAAAGTACTCAAAAAAATCTGGATTTCCTAATTAAACTAAGAGGATTGTTTCCAATAGGGTCTAGAAAACATTTTCAAAACAATTTTCAAGAAAATAAAACTGTTTACAACTTACAATACCCAAAGGAAGACTCGGAAACAATGATCACAAGACAATAAAAGGGTGGTAAAAATGGTCAACGGTTAGGTCTTAATAAATATAATCATTGACCGCAAGAGAAACATAACGATCTAAATAAAATGCCGCCAATGGTGTGACGTCATTGTTGAAAACACAGTGAAGTTGGTGAGGTAACATTTATTACTTTGTCTTGAATATGAATTAAAATCCTATTACGGCACTAACGTATAAGCATGCAAATATTTCAGTAAGGGGCTTACCCATTATATTTAAAAATATATTCGAGAAGCAAATTTTACAAATATTCTCAGTTTTTAATTCAGAAGAAAAATTCTAGATTTTCTGAGAAAATTATATTTTATTTTGGAAGAGGGAAATTGGCCTTCAAGATTGGATTTTAGGTAGACTTGGGAGGCCTGCTAAGTCATTGCGACATGTTTCCAAAAACAAATACAGTATAAAATTCAAAATGCCACAACTACGAACTAATTAAAGGCAATCTTCTGTCACATGTTCAATGTGTTATTTTGTCCGTAGTAGTAATAAAGCTTTATTTATTCACGAAAACAAAACTCAACAACTTACATGTTTTTCATCATGGCCGTGATAAAAAAGAAAACAAAAAAATATAGTATATCAAATTTACAAAGCATACAATATAAAGGAAAGGCTTAAATACAATATAACAAAATATGATATTTTGGATTTGCGTCAGGAGAATCAATTAGGGGGCCTATATGTATTTTCTGATTGCTTTTCTGGTGAAACCCCCTCTTTAATTTTCCCAAATAAGTCCTCCAAAAACCCAACTAATGCAATGCAGACTCACCCAGACACAGACATTTTCAAACATATCTGCATTTTATAGCATTATTTAGACCCATAAAGCACAAAAATCCTCTAATTGCTTTGGAGGTTTCGCCGACCTCACCTGGGCTTCAACTGTGGACCTCACGCCCAGAAAACCCCCACTTGGAAGAACCTGGCTACGGGCCTAGTATCTCATTCACCGTTCCCCAGTTTTTCGTCAAACAACTTTTTTCTGTCTAAGAAAAGGCAGTTTTACAACATATCAAAACATTAATTTTTTTTCCTCCGGAGCCTGACTTAAAAGCTGACAACATAATGTGGAATCAAACTAAAGCATCAAACCACCAAACCTGCCTACATTTACCATGCATTATAAGTGATGAATATAAACATTATTAGACACTAAAGCTGGTATCAACTGCCTGCTAAAGTTCGTGCTGAATAATTATCATCTAGAGTTATGCTGAGAGTACTGCCTCTTCACTATCTTTCATAAATCAAATATAAACAATGATGCCTCTTATGATTTGTATCAACCTGTGCCTGTTTGTTGTGTAAATATTGAACATTGCTGTCGTGTGAAAAAGTTGACATATTTTGTTATTTTAACAGGAATATTTGGATTATCAAGAAAACAAATACCTGTACAATACCTGTAAACTCATAACGAAATTAAATAAGAACATCGTTCATGCCAGTAAGATTTATACCATTAAAAACAGCAATAACTAATGTTGGGCAAATTGCAATAGATCAAGTCATCAAAATACGCTGCCAAATTCAAAAAAACCCTGAAGAAATCATGATATCATAATAATTTAATATCAAAAATTAAATTGACTATTTATCAAAATTGTGTATGCTGAGAAAACGATACTATACTTCTGAAGATGTCATCACTTCTTTCATAAATGCTTTTGTTACTTACTTTTTTCAAGATGGATTTGAGCTTTTTTTTTTGTAACGATACCTTATCCCCTTTTGTCAATTTATTGATTTTTAATTATTGATCTATATTGTTGAAGATAAAGTTGACATAGTAGTAGTAGTAGTAGTACTTGCTTCCATTGCAAATTATCCTGCTTAAGTTCCAGTCATTGTAGAACTCTGACCGGAGGCTAAGATTCCAATTGCCCAAATGTAGAGGACAGCAGCACCAAATTCACATCCAAGGAAAACACCCTGTAAATTGTAATTAAGTAAAAATCATAAATTCTTAACATCATGGTAAAATTACCCTGTACATCCTTGTATAAATTAATATATTCTGCTGTATGGTTGATTGCTTCAAGAGTATAACCCTCTCTTAGCCACAATTATGTTATTAATCATGTTTAAGAGGCATTGTTGCTATCTTAGGATTCTGGGTTTAAATTCTGAGACAAAAGGCATAACAATGAATTAGTTTGTTTCTTGCGTGAAAATAATATCTTGAGATGAGTGTCTAAAGTTAAATTCTCAGTTGTGATTCCAATCTCAATTTGGTTTTGAGTTGACAAGTGCCGTAATGAATAGTTCTAACTACTAATTATAAAAACTACTTTATCAATATTATTTTTTTAAAATTTTTGTTACATTGCCTTGTGGAAAAGGAAGATTTTGCCACTAAGCTCGGTTCTCTGTTTATTTCAGACATTAACATCATGATAACCCTGTACATTCTCGTATAAATTAATATATTCTGCTGTGTGTTTGATCAAGGACATTTAAATGGCTGGAAAATTTAAGCCGTCTAACTTGAATTAGCCTTATGTGTTGTATTGTTATGCTAATGAGCCAGATAAGCACAATCTGCACATGCTCAGAAAAATAAAAATTTCCTTAGCTACACTGCATATCGGCTAGGCTTAAACAGCTAGGCCTAGCCGAGAATTACGGTGGTACGGTAAAACAAAGCAAAATAAGGGTACTAATTTCACTTCCCTATTTTATATTAAATATTAATCGTTTGCATTTCAGTCAGACGACATCATAATAACTAAAATATTTAAATGTACACTATGTATTTTATCTGTTTTTTGTATGTCTTTGTTTTGTAAAGTGTTGTATTTGAATGGATGCTAAATAAATAAATAAAATAAATGTTCAATATTTTAATTGCTTATATTAAGGCAAGGTTAACTATTATAGCTTTCAAGAAATTAAAACAAGTAACTATGAATTGCTTGGATTTTCCCTACTGTGGAAGTCAATGACTTCGAGTCTTACACACCAAAATACTTTTCAATATTAAATATATATACAATAATAACAAGAGCATTCCTTTTTTTTTATGGCACATGGTTTGAGTAATACTGGGTACTGCAGCTGTTAAAAAAGTTGTTCATTTCTAACTTGTGTAGACGCTAGTTACTAATAAGCGCAAGCTCAGTGGCTAGTTATAGCGCCAGGATAGTTATCTGGAGGTTGTGGGTTCGTTTACCACCCGAATCGCATGCTATTTTTATTCGCACATGAGGTAGGGCAAATCATTAATATTATAACATGTGTGGACAAATCAAAAAACGCAATTGATCCATTGAAACAAACTATTCTATTGCTTTTTATTGTTCCATAGTACAATATTTGTGAGCTCGATACTGTATTCTTCATCACTGCAAAAAGGATGTGTTGACGTAAAACCAGCCGTCAAAAGCAAATTCCGACGTCTGTATCAAAGAAACCAATCAAACATAACCTTCCACAAAATACGCACATGGACGGTGTGGTTGATAGAGGTTCGAATAACTGGAATCAGCGAGAAAGTTATTTTTAAAAATACTGTACTTGTTTTTAAGTGGATTTTATTTGTTACATTGTAAATATTGAATTTCTGTGTTGATTGGATAATGTATAGTTTTTAGACTAAGTTTATCCTTATGCTAGGCCTAGCCTAATGTCATCGATTCATCACTGCCAAATGTACCTGGAATTGGAGGAATGCGGTGTAACTAGCTTAGGCTAGAAGATATGGCGTGTAGACCTGTCACCTGCCTTCATCTTGGACCTTTGTGGCCGTGACCAGTGGCCGACAGGGGGTCTGACATGTCAAGTGGGGGTCCGAATGAAAGGGCAGACTAAAAAAAGAAGCCTCAGCCTCAGTCAGGGTCCAGAATAAAAAATATCTGGTGCTGTGGTTCATTCCCAACAACAAGATTGTTGTCAATGTTCCTGCCTAGGGAGCCAGATTTACACTGATAAAATCAGGGACACAGTGCTCTACAGACTGCCTGGTTATGCGCTGTCCTGAAAATTTATCTACAGAACTGAGATATAGATCTGTATAGGCCTAGTCTGATGATAGTGGCCCATTTTATTTAGTCTAGGCCTATTCTATGTTATGTAATTTTAAAGTGAGATTCATTTGTGTGGATCCAGAATTTTTTTCCCTGATGAGCGAGGAGTTTGCAAGTGCAAATCTGTAGTCCGAGGGAGGTGGGTTTTACTGAAAAATGTTTTGATGTATTGAATTATTTACCTTTAAAACGTTTCAATCTTCCTTCTGTAGATTGCACTTTGAGCTTGCGTATGATTCATCATGGAATCTGAGCCCAAGTCTCGAATTGGAAACAATCGACATCTAACTGTGACAAACTATGGAAAGCCGAGTTCACATCAGAATCAAGTAAAATTTTGAAAAAAAGTTTCAACTCCCACAATTTTTATTCATTTCTTTATTTTCTAGTTATTTATTTAGATAGTATCACTATATGTATTTGTAAAATTAGTGCCTCCTTATATTCAACACTCTTTTCAATAGAGTGGTCATCGCTATAAAATATGTATTAATAATTTAATGTTAATTTTATTTTATTCAGATACTACAGAATCTGACAGAACCTCACATTCAATCATTTAACTACATGCTTGAGGAGGGTCTGATGTTAGCAGTACAAAATATGCAGCCGATTCAGTTTTCCATTCCATCAGGTGCTAGAGTGACCCTTTCATTCCAGGTATGAAAATTATATAAATGATGTAAATGACACCTTGATTCTCACAACATAGCTGTTCATCATGTGTAAATCATTAATCTTAATTCTATATACCTTACAATCAGATTACAATCATACATTATATCTTATACATTGACATACATTTCTTGCAGAGTGCTTCGATAGGAACCCCTACTGTCGCTAAAGACAACAAGTTTGCCTCAACATTGAAGGTTTTTCCAGCAGAAGTAAGTCCAATAAAGTAAACATTAAAGCAGTCACCCTATTGAGTGCATACCTGTGCCATGTGTCTGAGACAATAAGGAGGTCGTGTATGATGGGTGAAACTGCAGCATACCCTCAAGAAAATAATGGAATTCAGGCACATTCAGTGTTGTCTGAATACGAGGGGTGATTCAATTATTTTCTTTTGTGCTTGGGGGTAAAAAATAGAATTTCCGTAATCTTGTCCTTTGACCTTTACTTCTGAAAATTGAAAGGTGTCTTCCTTTGATTATTATGTACCATTCCACTAAATTTTATGATGATCCATTGCTGACAGACAGACAGGCAGACAGTGAATATATAACCTCCTTGGCGGAATTAATTATTATATTTACAATACTACAGTAAACACTCGATCACAGACTTTTAGTATCCCTTTTACTACCCACTTAATTTCATGCAATGTCATCATTGTAGTGTCGTCAGCGAGGTATAACCTACTCTGCCAAGATACAAGGATCTGTACAGTGGATATGTAGTGATGGGATGCAAGGAACAACAAACCACCCACTTGGCGATATACCTGTAATGGTGAAGGTAAGTTTTGTGCATCTAATGCAGTGGTCATTTTAGCCAGGGTTTCAGGGAAGCTCATTAATGGAGCTCAATTTCATCAATACTCTCCTTGCCTAGACTGAAATTCAAGTTACTGTAGTACACTGAGATGTTTATGCTGGTGGTACTATGTTCACAGGCTTCGTACGTGTCCTTGAATTCCTTGAATGTCCTGGAAATCAAATGAACATTTTCCAGTAGTGGAAAGTCTTGGAAATTTATAATTGTCCTTGAATGTCCTGGAATCTGATCATTTACCATTTATGTGGAACTGCAAGTTGCCTAGTAACAGTAAATTAAAGGAGAAACATTCCACAAGTAGGTTCCCTCCAGACTGTTGGGTCAAGTCTTTGTACGCCACCAATTCAGGAATGTTATCGAAGACAGAAAGAATATCAAATGCTGAAAATGGCCGACTGGCTTGTTGAGTATAAACTTGTGCGATTCAGTGAATGGAGTTGTTCGCCTTTATTTTAATAAGTGGTCCTTTCTTAATCTTGTATATTAATTATGTTTACATGTAATTTTAATTCAGACATTAAAATCGTAATCATTAACTCTGATGACATTTATTCAAAAAAATTCCACAACAAATTACATATTACAAATTGTTTACATAGGCATCAAAAGAAGCGGTGGCTTGTCAGTTTGAATACCAAACTTTGTTGATATCTGCTATGGTGTTTATGTTTGCTTTCTGTTGTGTGTATAAACAGTAATATTAAACTTAAACTTGCAATCAGATGACCCGGTCTTGTCATATGTGCTCATTACTACAGCCCAGCACATTTGTTCTACATGGAGGGGCATGCCCTATCCAGTGCAAGACAGTTAATTAACAATTAAGGTAACCATGGGAATGAACATGTACTTCTACAGTTATTTTTAATAAAGGGCGTTCATGTTTAAAGGGCTTTTACAGTTAAAAGTCCTTAATTTTAGAGCGAGGTATTTTATTAATTATGTTTCTGAATTATATTAAAGTTACACCGTATTTTGTTCTTGGTACTGGTTTTAGACTATTTATTGTTGACCAGTAACCATGTAAAACACACCAATTCAACACTTGATACCTAGTTTTGTGTTTGTCACAGTAAACTAGAGCAATAACATTCCTTATAACCAAGTTAGAATATTCTACGATCTACACAGTACTAGTACCAGCAATATCAAAATTAGCAGGCTTAAAAATTTTTTACTTTTCCATTTTTAACTAATTTTCAATATCTATGACATCTGACAAATTAAATTTATAAAAGCAAGTAACAAACATTTACAATACAAATACATTGAATTAAGAATAAATGATGTTTTTAATGTTCCTTTTAGTAGAATAAAAAAATGGGTTTATTAGCAGATTATGTTCAAGAGATTCCTTCCATATATTTATTTCTGATTTTCCTATTGCCGTTGAAGCCTCTATAGTAAATTGCTTTCCTACTTGTTTCCTTTCTGTTGTACCATTTGTACCTACTTGTTATGGTCATACCATGCTGTAAATGGTGGATTTTCTCTATTGTTTTTTGTTAATACATGAATTAATTAATAGTACTTATTTATTTCTTTTTAATATCCCATACATACAACAAT